ATGTTTTGACACCTAAAACCCCCTAAACACTCAAAACTAACCCTAATATAACATAGTTAATCCAAATATAAATTATATAATGAAAAAATAATTTTGAAAAATCGGTATTTTTGTAAAGATTTCAAAAATATGGTATTTTTATAAAATGACACTTGGAGTGACAATTTTTTTAAATTTCTCTTAGATTTTTATCATGATACGATGAATCATAAAAACACCATGTATGTTTATGAGAAAACTATAATCTTTAACTCTGTAGTTTAGGAAATGATTTTTAAAATATGTGGAATATAATTGCACATATTTCAAGATTATAAAATAATACGAATAAATTAATTTCTAGTATGACAATATATTCCCTACTAGTTTTCTTTTATGAATCATTACGGAAAGACGTGCGATCTCACCAATAAAGAGTTGAAAATGAAAATATATATACATTCTGAAAACAAACAAAAAATATATAATTTCTGAACAAACAAAAAAAAAAATACGAAAAATTACGATGTACAACTGTACAAGTCATTAAACTGACAGGTAAAATAGTAAAATCTAAAAACGAACATTCATCATCGACCCCATCTTCAGAAGAGTCTAGAACACGAAAAGAGAGCCGTTCGATGATAGATTCCTATGGAATCGTGACCGTCCGAAATGGGACAGATACAGATACGTGGCAGAGAATGAGAATGCCGACGTGGTTTTAAACGGATTTAATTTAATGGTTACTTGGACCTACGAAATTGGGCCTTAAAACTTAAAAGCCCATAATAACATTGAAGTAAATAATAGCTAGTGGCAATATAGTACACAAGTAATTAAAAATCAAGTACATATCTTACAAAAGATTTATTCACAAGTTTTCTTCAGATTTTCGAATCATTCAAGCTAAAAAGACTTTTGGTGATTTCAGAAAAATGTGTTAAATAAGATGATATGTTAGTGAATAATAAATTAATAATAACTATATTTTACAACTATTATATTCATAGCTAAATATTTCTTGAGATTCTAAAATATATATTATTTAACAATTAAAAAAAATCGAAAATGAACCCAAAAAAAAAAATTTAAATACTTAGTTGAACCGTCTTGAAAAAAAAATAATTCCAATATAATTATGAGGTCCATTAGGTATAATATCAAATGAATAAAGCGACTACGATGGCACTTTTAAGTCCACATGAAAGTAATAGTGAATCATATAAAATCACAATATATAATGAGATTAAACCACTTTGGACATAAAGGATCTTGTCTCCATAATGCAAAATTCAGCTTTGTACACTTTTGACTATTTTAATGATTTTCATTTTAGAAAAAAATAAAGAAAGATTAAGCATAAATTATAATACATGATAACATAACCATGTGAAGTAGTGTCTTCCCATTAACTCTACTATTCATGGGAAATACTTTAAAAACAAGTAATTCTGAAAAAGAAACAGAGAATTCACAAATTAGCATTACACTAAAGAAAGGTTAAGCATAAATTGTTTAATCTATCAATATCGAACAATATCAAATAAAATAAAAACTGTTTAAAAATCAGTAATCATGGTTACAAGTAGATATCATTTACCTGTGAAAAGCAATTCTTACCTTGAACAAATTCTATAAGAACATAATTAGGTGATTAATCATATCACATTAGAGTTCCAATGACACATAGCAACAATCAAATCTCAAAACAGAGAAATCCATTCAAGTAATTTGGCTACTTCACAACATTTTTCTAGACAACTTAATGAAGAAATTCCGAAAAACTGTAAGCAAATCGATTAACATGACCTTACTAATCAACACAAGTAGATGAAGAAACCTCACCAGGCTCTATTGCATTGTTATCTAAAGCCATCTGATTGTTTACCAATAGTCGCCACACGAGCATTTTCCATCTTGGAAATGATGGTAACGGATTGGATCTCTTATAACTATACTGCGGTTTTCAAGCTTGGAAGCGAGCTTGAAGAACACATGACAGTCCCCACATATTCTCAGATTCTTTCTGATCCTAATGACTTTCCCAATAGGTAATGTTAACAAGCCAAACGCTAAAGCCAGTTTCTCGCTGTGATGTCTTAAAGAATCTTCCATCTGTTCTCCTTCAAGATCGTGTAGCACGAAGTTTGTTTCAGGAACATAACCAATACCTATCAATCTGTGGATCAATTGATTCAGCTTCTTGTTGACTTCAACTATTTGTGGATGAGATTTGTCTCCGATGATAAAAGCATGAATCTGTTTGCCTACTTCGATCCAACTGCATCCAGGTTCTTTCTTGATTCCTATGTCTCTCATTCGTGTCCGGATTTCTTCAACACTGTCCCATTTCTGAGAGTTTGCATATATGTTAGACAACAGTGTGTAAGTTCCTGCATCCTCGGGATCGAGTTCTATGACCTTTTTAGCTGCATATTCGGCTAGCACCATGTTTCCTTGAACCCTACAAGCACCAAGCAGAGTTCTCCATGTAACAGCATCTGGCTCACATTCCATCTCATGTAACAGCTTGACTGCATCGTCGAGTTTCCCAGCTTTTCCTAACAGATCAATCATACAACCATAATGTTCCCTTCGTGGATCAATTCCATAAAGTTTCTTCATTGATCTGAAGTGGTACCAACCATCTTCCAGGAGCCCCGCGTGGCTACACGCAAAGAGAACCCCGACAATAGTAATGTAGTTTGGCTTCGTCCCAGAAGATTTCATTGACTCAAATAACTTCAGTGCCTCCTCACTATAACCGTTTTGTGCCAACCCTGAAATCATTGTGCTCCATGAAATCACATCTCTCTCCTTCATCTGGCTAAACACACGGCGAGCATCCTCCAAGCTCCCAGACTTGCAATACATGTCCACGAGCGCGTTGTTGAGTATCAAGTCTTGGTCATATTTGAAGATATGAACATGAACTTGCATCCCAAGCTCCAACAGAGCCAAACCAGTACACGCCCTCAATACGCTAGTCAACGTAGCTTGCTCCGCAGTGAAACCAGCTATCTTCATCCTCTTAAAAAGCTTCAAAGCTTCATCGCTTTTATTGTTCTGAGCAAAGCCACCAATAATCGAGTTCCAAACAATCCCATCACCAGTAACCATTTCATCGAAAACCGAAAGAGCATCCTCCGGCTCACCAAGTTTAGCAAACACATCAATCAAAGCACTCCTAACAAAAACATCGGACTCTAATCCTTCCTTAATAATCCCACAATGAATCATTCTAACATCAGACATCCCATTGCAGGATCTTAACACAGATGAGTAAGTATACACATTAGGCCTAACACCTTCTCTAAGCATCAAAACCAAAAGCTCCAAAGCCTTGTTGTGAATTTTACACTTAGAATAAGCAGAGATCATTGTAGTCCAAGAAACAACATTCCTCTCAGGCATTTTGTCGAACAAGTGGTGAGCATCATTCAAAAGATTGAATTTCACATACATGTTCATCAGAACATTAACCAGAAACATCATTGGTTGATGCCCATTGAAGTATAAATGACGACAAACTAGATTCCCTTCATGAACAGCTCTTTGAGACAAGCAACACTTGATAAGCTCAGAATAAGTCTCACAATCTGCCCAAATTCCATGGCTTTGCAACGAATCCATAGCTTTCAGAGCTCTGGGAATGTTTCTCTGGTAACAAAATCTGGTGAATTCATTAACAAGAAGAGTTTGGTCGGAGGAACTGTAAGAACAACGTAAATTGAGAACTGGTCCAAGGACTTTGATCTTTCTCATTACTGACTTCATCTTTTGCAACTTCGAAGCTCAAATATTACATCATTACAAAAACACTTTAAGGCGTAACGTCTGAGATTTGTATGTGTTGAAGTAGTGAATCATTGCATGTTTTGGTGACAAAAATAAAAATGGGATTTTGATGAAAGCAACTGAGTAAGAGTTTGGTAGAAAATATAATTTCTTGAGATGCATAAAGCTTAAAACAATGTTTTTAACATTACATATTCTCTAAAAGTACTAATAGGGAGACACCGCTCTTTAGACTGCTTCCGGTTGAACAAACGGATTGGCGATTTCTTCCGTTCCATCGGTAGGCGAGACAAGCATCACTGCTGTTCCACGGCAAACCTATACCAGAGACAAAACATGGTGGTTTAGAATCTCTATTAAACTCAATTACAAGTAACCAACAATGTAAACCAGAAGAAACAATGCCACTATTTGCATCGTATAGGATTACAGTTATAATAGTGGAAAAGAAGGTAAATGAGTCATACAATTAGACCGAGGCGTCTTGTCTGGTCGGTGGTCTTCAAAGGATCATCGTGATCTGGTCATACATCAGACAAAGGTCATAATACTGTATATAGATCATGAAAATCAACAAGACAACACAGCTCTATATCATCCCCTTTTATAACACAGCAAACAAGATTAAGCAACCAAAAAAAACCTCGCTTCCGACATATCTAATCAAGATTTTATATGATTTTCAATGGCATAGATACACATACACATGGTGATCTTTGTATGTAGCAGAGTAACGTGAATCGAATCATATACAGACAAGGGTCAGAATAACATTGTATAGATCACGGAAATCAACAAGACAACACAGCTTCTGGTTTCAAAATAGTCAAGAGAACAGTACTATCCCAAGTATATTACAACAAACATGATTAAGAGATAACAAAACTTCACTTCTCTCCTATCTAATCAAATTCATATGAGTAAGATACACACACAGATGGAAACAATTGTATGCAGCAAGGTAAAATGAGATACAGACCTAAACTACTCTTCTCATGTTGAGCAATAAACATATGAAAAGAGAAGAAAAAACAGCCAAACACGATCTATGCGATAAAGATATAGCTGTGAAAGGCAATTCAAATAAGAAACACATGGTAATGCAACAAATGAGATACCTCGGACGGATTCTACAGCTTCGTCAAGAACAAGATTGAGCAATTGATCATAGCCCTTAAGAGTTCCAGTGACTGCAATAAAACACACAGCAACCATCAAATCTCAAAGAAAATCATCATTGCGTAATCATTAAAAAAAAACTCATTTTTTGTTACCTTGTCTACCACCAGTAAGCTTAACTTGCACACCCTTATCCACAAACTTAGCCAAATCCAAAACCGTTTCCTTTCTTCCTGACTGTGAAAGAAAAAAAAACAGAGAAAATCAAAACACTAAACTCAATGAATTGACTCAAACCATAAAAGACAATGATTTTACAAAACAATTACCATTGTTAGAGCAGAGTCTTGTTACAGAAACTCCAAGAAAGAAATCTGGAAACAAAGGGAAAATCAATTTGATTCAGAACAGAGCCATGCTTATACTTGTACAAAGTAAATATGAACATTTATGCAAGTCAATAATAGTTTCAAACATCGTCTTCTCTAGATAAACCAACTCAAAAAATTAGGGTTTACGATTCTTCTTCTTCTTCCCCAGTGGGGTTTTTTATTCCGATTAAAACTAGGGTTTGCGAATGTTACAGAAACCCATTCCGGAG